GTTAATTACAATTAATCCCCTTAAGGTATGTCACATTTTTTACTTTACCCCCTAACTTTTAATTGTGCTCACTTAACCCCCTATAGGACAAAATTACCCTTTCATTATTTTGACTTTTCATTTACCTTTTTTCCTCTCTTTTATTTCTTTGTCTCTTTCTTCTCTCTTTCATCATTCCCAATAGAAAACTCCGTCTCAACGAAAATTTTTATTTTGAGTTTGTAATTGCATTTTTGGATGAAGGTTTAAAAGGTATCAAAAACTAATTTTGATTTTTTGTATGATGCCACGTGTCACAAATTTCAATTGATGATTATTAATTAGGTCACAATTTCATCTTATGATATTTTCTTGAGAATAAAATGAGAAACTAGAAAGGAAAGAGGAAAAACTGAAAAAAATTGAAAGGCTAAATATTTGTATTTTAGGAAAGTGATTTGAATATTTTTTAATCATTTAAGGAGAAGATAGATCTTTACGATTCCTCTTTTTTAATTTCAATCATTAAGATGAAGATTTTTGTGGAAAAGAGGAAAAATTAAAGAAAGAAGAAAGAGACAAAGAAAATAAAAGAGCACAAAAGGGGAAAGAAAAAAAATAAAAGAGAAAAATAAGAGTTTGAAATAATAGAGGGATAATTTTGTCCAACGGGGGATAAAGTGAGACAAAAAAATGGTTAGGGGGTAAAGTGAGAAATGACATATACTTTAAGGGGATTAATTGTGATTAACCCAAAAAATTTTGCATCAAAATCTTTTATTGAAGCTTTTATAGGATGGATCGAAAGTGGAGCAGGGAAAATTTCTTTAGTAGTGTCAATATCCAACGCCTTATTTGTCTGGTAACCTGGATAAACCAGTGAATTTACTTGAGTTGTGGAAGTAATTTTATCATATATCTTTCAATTACGTATTAATCTTTTCTACACTGACAGTATACATATTATCTGCATTAGATGAATGACAATTATATAAAATTTAAATTTAAAATTTAATTTTTGCACATATGCCATGAATCCAATGATAATGGTGTATAAACTGTCAATGGATATAAGATTTACTCATCAATTATTGTGCTTACTTTTTGTTCTTTTTGTTTAGACAAGCGACACTTAACATAATCCAGATATTGATTTCGATCATTTGTCTTCTTAATTATGATAGATTAGAACTCTATTAAGCTCAGCTCCGGAGAGAAAAGCTGCAATCGGCAATGGACGCAAATTATAACAATTCTCGACAACTGTTTAATATAAGCTAATCAGGTTGTAGGAGCAATTATTAAGTTTGTCCAATTGAAAGAACACTGATTGAAGTTCAAAGAACATGCTACTGAAGTTTGAAATTCAGTAGAGGCAATCCTTGGGTTGTGCAAGGCATGGTGCATTAATTAATGAACAAATGCTAAAATTCAAGCTTCAAAAGTGTGACTTCCGCTAATAATAATGCTATGTGCTAAAGCCTAAACAGGAGGGGACTTTTTCTTCCCACGGACGGCTTACTGGCTTAGTGAGCGGCTGTCAACAATATGCATCTTCTAATCCTTTTTCACATGAAGAACGGAAAAGGGAAAAAAAAAAGAAAAGAAAAGAAAAGAAAATAGCACAACACTATAGTATATTTTAAGCAGAACTAAAATTTGTCACGTTCAGAGTTCGAATACTAAGCCTTGTAGTTGAGGATGGAAAAGAAATGGAAAAGGGATTGGAAGTAAATATTTTTTTTTTTTTTTTAAAAAAAGAACGGCCAAAATCACTAAGACAATAAGCCGCCAGCCGTCATAGGCCACTTCTTTCAACCCTCCTTAATTTCTTGCGTTTCCTAATTGGATCAGCGAAGGAGGGAGCGTCATGGCTGATAAATCTAAGCCAATATTTGTTTTTCTGCATTTCAAATATCAAATTTATAAACAATTCACTCACTAACCAAGAATATAAAATAGACTGTCTGGGAGGGTGGCACAATTACTGTAATCTATTACCAACATTGTGGTGCATCATTGCTTGGTTATAAGATAAATTTGAACATCTATCGACGGCTGAAATATTTAACCACAATCAACGTTTGGTTAATTAGATAATGTGATGATCTCATACATGATTAGAGACTGGACCATTTCAAAACCCTCTTCTCCAAGAATGCTACTGTGCTAAGTACAAGATTCAAGCCTGTGAAGGAAAGTACGTAGCAGCGTAGAATAAATTTCAAGTCTGTGTTCTCATTGATTATTTACCGAATGACTGGTCAACAAGGAATACATTGAATGGGGTGTTAAAACTTAAAAAATGGTTTCTTTCTTTTTTGGGATAATTTCAGAAACCTCCCCTGAGGTTTCTGACACTTTCACTGACATCCCCTGAGGTTCTCAAAATTTCACTTACCTCCCTTGCTTTTGATTTTGTGGTAACAATCCAGTCCAAATCAGATTAAAATATTATTTTCATGTGTGAGAAGGTATTTTTATTCCATAGCTACCCTTTGCAGAAGTTGTATTAGTAGAAGATTCAAAAAAGAATAAATGATTTGGACTAATTAGTAAAGTTGAGGGGGGGTAAGTGCAATACAAAAAATTGCATGCACCAGATGTGCCATGCAACAGTTATTTGGCAGATTTTGCAACGGCTAGCTGCAAATTGCAACGGCCAGAAGGTTTGCTGTTTCAGTAGCAATAGCATATAAAGCAAAGCAACTTAACTACCTCTGAGGTTTCAAGCTATTAACATTCTTTGCTACTAATTTGGAGTGATAACAAGTGCATTTGCTGTGCTACAATTAGAGCTCTGAGTAAAAAGTTTTAGCTGCAACCATGGCCTCTTCAAGCCATAGGGGAGAATCATGGAATTCACCTACATCTTTCTCCATTAAAAACAGGTTTTGCCGCTGTAATCGCAAAGCAACCGTAATGATATCAGAGAGTGAAAGGAATCCAGACAAGTTGTATTTCTATTGAGAAATTTCCAACTTTGTGATGAATTTTAAAAAAATTCTACAAAAGGGGTGATTTTGGGTTTAATTTCCGTCAGGGGGGTCTTCGCATTTGTGAATTTCACAAATGCGAGCTTACAAGAGCTCGCATTCGTGGAATGCGAGCTCTGGTTATTGAGCTCGCATTCCACGAATGCGAGCTCTTCTCAATTTTTTTTTTCCTTTTTTAAGAGCTAGGGAATTATTTCTAGGAAGCAAATGCGAGCTCTTATCTTTTTTATTTTGGTATTTTTTGAGAGGTAGGGAATTATTTGCAGAAAGCTTCTAATTTTTGTTTTAAAAAATGTTGCAAATATTTAAAATTTTGAAAATAGCTCGCATTTGTTAAATTTGACCTGCAAAAATTGTATTTAACTTTTTTGTTAGATTTCGCATTTATAAGTATGACTTGTAGAAAATTAGATTCAAATTTAGATGTATTAGGGTTTTAAAAATATTATATAAGTGATAAAAATTTTATAAATTGTAAAAATAAAATCAAACTGCTTGGATAATTAAATGTTATATTTGAATAAGAAATAATACAATAATCATAATAATGATAATACAATAATATTGGTGTAATAAAACTGCCATTAATTTAAATATTTACTTATAATGCCCAAAGAGCCTAATTACCAATTTTTTCTTCTCGCGCTCAAATATAACATTAACCCGCATGCGAGCTAACCTTGAAATAGAAAAAACACAGAATCCCGCTTGCGGGTTTCAGGAGTATTCGGATATTCTCATATGCACCTATGCAAATCGAACCAACCGGATATCTTATCCGTATCCCATTTTTTTAAATAAAAATCTTATAAATTTGAAAAATAAAATCAAATTTAGATGTATTAGGGTTTTAAAAATATTATATAAGTGATAAAAATTTTATAAATTGTAAAAATAAAATCAAACTGCTTGGATAATTAAATGTTATATTTGCATAAGAAATAATACAATAATCATAATAATGATAATACAATAATATTGGTGTAATAAAACTGCCATTAATTTAAATATTTACTTATAATGCCCAAAGAGCCTAATTACCAATTTTTTCTTCTCGCGCTCAAATATAACATTAACCCGCATGCGAGCTAACCTTGAAATAGAAAAAACACATAATCCCGCTTGCGGGTTTCAACGTTATTCTGCGCTTCGTGTGTTTGCTTTTGTTTTGCTTTTGTCTTTTTTTTTCGAAATGGAGGGTTGGCGGTGGAGCTTAGTACGAGAGCTCACTGAACTCTAATAGGTTTCTAATTAGGTTTCTAATAAAGACTTCGTTCGATATGTGATATTTCAGCCGAACTTCGAATCCATGGCACTTATTACGCGCTTAAGCCACCTGTCCACATTAGCAATCAAATGGCTTGATATCAAGAATTCCACAAAGGTAAATTACCTAATAACCTTGCAAAATAGGCTATCCATCTTCCTTGAGTTCATATAAAAACATTATCCTAAATACCAAAAAGGACAAGCTTGAATTCCCAATCCCACCTGTGTACATAAATTGTTCTTATTTGATTGAACTTCTTGTCTTGTAACAAATGACTCCACAGACATTTTCTTGCAAAGTACGTAATTTGAAGTCAGGCGTGTAATCTTGCATGACAAGAATAGGTACGTAAAGAATAAGAAAATTCATTATGTAACTTAAACATAAACGGTAGTAATTAACCCCAACTACTTGGGATATATCTGTAATTTTGGCCCTGATGACGTCAGAAAAGGGGCCCAATTTTTTATCAAGGGAGGTAAGTGAAATTTTGAGAACCTCAGGGGATGTCAGTGAAAGTGTCAGAAACCTCAGGGGAGGTTTCTGAAATTATCCCTTCTTTTTTTGTCATTCTTGGAAATTCGTTAAGTCTGATGTTTTTTAGTATTTAAACCCTTTTTTTCTAGAAGTCAAACAGCACCAAAATGCGTATATAGACTTCCATTGCAAGCATTTCTCAGAACTTCAATTCAATTCATTTGACATTTCGCTCAGTCCTAAATCTAATCTTCTAGAGAGGCCATGATGAGTGCTGGACACTTTCTGTCTTGATCTTTTTAAATCCCATCAAAATCAAAGTCAATCCTAGCTACAAACAATCCTACAGACCAAATCCCAAAAGTATCATTTCCCTCTCTCTCTCTCTCTCTCTCCAGATGTGCAGTCCCTTCAGTTGTGGCAGCTTCAAGAATCAAGAACGAGATGATTTCGATGAATTTTTAAGCCCACGCGGAAGTCCCAGCAGATCAAAAAGTGCTATTCATGATCATCGTGGTAAAAGAAGAGATAGCAAAAACCCTTATGCAAATCAAGGTCTTGACAAGTTCCATGCACTTCTAGCTGAACTTGAAGACAAGAAGAAGAAGATTTACACACAAAAAGGCTCAAATGACATCTCATTCGTCTACTTCACCGATTCGAATTCCAACAATTCAAAATCCGACGAATGGAAGCCGATAATAGTAAAGGTAAAGAGGCAAGAAAACACAGGTATCAAAAATGCCAAAGATAAGCAAATGATGACGAGCTCGGAGGCAGGAGAGAAGCATAGCATCGAGGCCTCAAGAGCTGTTGGTCCTGAAGTTCGACAACCAAAAGAAGAGCCGATCCAAAGACCGAAAGCCAAGAGCTGGAACTGGAGATTAGTTTTTGAAAATTGGAGGCACACGTTAGGCTTCTTGCCCGTGACAGTAGTCCTGATTCTGTTGTTCCTACTTATTTATGGAAAATCGTTTGCCATACTATGCACAACTCTTGGGTGGTACTTAGTACCTCTGATGAAGGGCAAGAGCTCAAGTTCCGAGAGACACAAGAAGAAGAATGAGCACTTAGCACCCGTGATGCAGGAGAAGAGCTCAAGTTCTGACATTCCAAAGAAGAAGAATCGTCACGTAAGAAGATATTTAAGCGAAAAGAACATGGCAAATGATGGATCACCATCATCTTCTTCAGCTCCTTCTTCTCCAGATAGTGTGCTAAGTGGACCAGCGGAAAAGACACCCACGCTGCATGGTCACAGGAAGAGCTGGTCATGAATTTGCATCTTGATCGAAATATTTTTTTCCTTTGTGAATTCCTCTCGCTACGGTAACCTTTTTTTTTTTTTCTTTTGTAAATTATTTTGTTGTTGTACCATGTAGTATGTTTATGTTTGGATTGGAAAGCAATCATCTTTGACGATTTCCTGAGTGTCAATTATTCACTGGACATGAATGGAAAGCAAACCATTTGTATTCCATGTTCAAAGATAGATATGTCATCACTGATTTCATGATTACAAAATTGTCACTAAACCCCTTTTTCTTTGAATTCATTAAAGTATGAATTAGCACTAACCACCACATTTAACATATTTCTGAGGTTACTAGAAAATTCAATCATGGGAACGGATGTTATGTTCAACATATAATTTTTTTTTTTTTTTTTACTTGCCCCCACGTGAATGGACTGGTGGTTGGCGCCTCTTCTTCGGGACCGTTAGGTCCTGGGGTCGAACCTCCGCGGCAACATCGGCTTCTCCGTGCATCTAACGTGCTAGGTCTGGTTGGGGCGCTGGGCCGGGCCGGAGTGGGATTAGTCGGGCCGCCTTTACGGACTTGACCCGGACACCCACTCCGTCGACAAAAATATATATATATAATTTTTTTTACTTTCTTGACAAGTTCTTGGCGGTGCGAAGCAGTACTCGGTCATTAGATGGAGTACATAGATTCACTTTTCATGCAGCGTACTCCATCGAAATAGGCTTTGATATCTTCGCAAAACCAGTATTGATATTACTCTACTAAACCAGTATTGATAACCTAGAAAGCAAATTGAACAGTTCTCAGTCTAGAGAACTTTTGAGTCATTGAAGGCAAATACTAAAGCACATATTGCCGCAATTCACAGATTGCTTGCATAAATCATTTGATTTGAAATTGTGTTGTCATTTCTAGGAGGAATTGTGGGAAATAAAAATGCTTCTTCTGCTTTTCTGACTTAACTAATCCCCACAAAAGAAACATTTTCTATTTCCGAGACCTACATGGATAAATGTCATCGTTATCTAGATCTTCCGTCTATTTCCATTTTTCTTCAACCTAAATTATAGGTCTTCTGTCCATTTATTCTGAGCTTCTTTTAGGATAACTATATAAGTTGGTTTCTTTTGACCAAGCATATGAGTGACGATTACGCTTAAATTTCAATTGTCTCATTTTCAGAATCGGCATTTATACGCCAAGGAGTTACATCACTAGATATTAGACCCCATTTTGACATCACTACTTCTAGATTAATGTAGAAGCAGCCCATGTGCTGTTTTGGAGCTCTGAATCCAACATCAATCGTGTAAATTCAAGGTCATTTGAATGCGCACACAACATTCCACGATTGCTAAGAGAAAATATCTATATAATTGTCTTAAACTACAAATTAACAAGCGCCTAAGTTAAAGAAGCTTCTATCATTCAAGGAGCAATTTCTGCCTTTTGTTAGAAATTTTCTGGAAAAGAGAAACAGATTTGAATGATTTCGAAGGAGCCATGTACAGGCAAGGATTGCTGATGAAAGTTCAACCCAAAAGTGCATCAGTCGTAATTCGACAAATATTTCATGCCAATTGATTGATTTTTTTAGGGTGGTTTGTCGCAGACATCACAGGCTCATCTTTGACATCTATGCCCGTATTTCACACGGTCAATGTGCAATAATGAAGTCGAAAGGAAGAAGGGCATTTTTTTTCCTTTTCACACTTCCATGAATACACACAGCAATTGCCAAAGTCTTCCTTTTAAAATATATAAATATTTGGTCAAGCAATTGTAATAATCTTCCTTTACTGTTACACCAAATGGTAGATACGAATTGGACCAGACAATTTAGCGGAGCAGAAACGGCAAGTGAAACCCTTGTCCCAACGGAAGCCAGATGAATTGTATGATATGTGACCTTTACCCACTAAAAAAGCCTTCAAAACAACCATGAGAACGTCAAGGCGTTTGTCCCAAGACTTTCACCAATCCCTTCATTCCTGCAGTGGAAAAACAGATGCGAGTCAGAACTTGCTAATGTACTTGATCCTTCAATTTGATTAGTAATGGAAGCGAAGAGGGGTGGGGACTGATAACAGCAAGAGATTCCAATCCAGAGAAACATCATGATAAAATATAGTTGCTTCTACGTACAAACTCCATTTTAGTTATTCTATTTTGCTGCTAATAAGGTTTGCAACACTAACCCTGAACCGTTTTGGACGTGCTTCATCCGGGCTAAACAGAGTCCCATGATAGGAACGGCGAGGAGCTTCACCTCTATAATTTCCCAACCCAGTCCCTCTAGCAGGCTCCCATCTGCTTCTTTCTTCTGTTTGTGTTCTCGAGTTCCGGAAGAATCCATCCTTATCCCATGTAACCTCATAATCAGCCCTCAAACGTGATCCTTGCTGCATGCACCAGGAGAAGTTGCATACATTACTCAAGCAAATGTGAGACAGAATAAGCTTACTGTAGCACACGAATCTTCCAAACGTAGTCACCGTTATCTTTCAGAAAATTACTTACCCAAGCTATTGACCATTATCAAGAAGTTTGTCAGTTAATATGATGGTTTTATGACTAATCACAACAAAAGGAATAGCACAAAAACAGAACGTATAACATTATCATATTTCTGTTTCAAAAGTATTCAGCTTGCATACATTTAATCACCTTCATAAAATGGTTACTCTTCAAAAACATCCAATGAAGATCAACATAAAGTAATAACTGCACTTGAGCATTTTATCAAGATCTATAATACTGGAGTATCATTTGATACTCAAAGTCCCAAGTAGAAATTTTTTACTTCTTCCCCTATTCTCCGATTCCTATTCTCTTTAATCTTTTGGGAGAAGGTTTAGAAGTGGAGATGTAAAGCATCAACGATCAGAAGAGAAACCATATAACTACCTTCTGGAATGAACGTCCACATAAGAATTTCAAAGCACTGTAAAAGTCCTTGTACTTTTCGAACCTCACAACAATCTTACACTGCAGACCTGGAACTATTTCTACTCCATCTTCATCTGCATCCCCACCATAACCATTGTCCTCAGCAACATCAAGATTCCTACCCACAGAACAGAATTATGCTATCAGGTTATGAAATCTGAACAATAAAATTTTGAGAAATGCATTCATGTTATAGCACCAAATAAATTCATGAACTAACCACTTGTCCCAGGAATAGGAACACCATGTCTTGGTTCATTATTATTAAGAGTTACTATCACATTCTTAGACCTAATTTGATGATTAAAGAAAAATAAATACTCTAAGCCTACCTAATCTAGTTCACGGAGAAAACTATAATGATGACGCAAAGTTAGCAGTGAGAAAACATTTTAGTAACTGAATTTCTATTAAGAGGCAGCAAGGCAAAATGTGATGGCCAGACAACAGGTCCACAATCATAAACATTAAACACCACTTGCTCAGAGCAGAAATCAACAGACAAGGAATTTTCAGTCCTTAGTCAATAACTGATCCTTCTATTATTCTAAGAAACTGTCAGAAACTAGCAAACACTGGAGACCATCCACGAACTCTGAAGCATTTTGTAGAGAGATGAACAGAAACAAGTGTCAAACAAGATATTGCACACCCTGTATTATGTGTATTTTCGGGCAAACAAATAATCAAACATCATGCCCCAAAATTTCATCAATGTCTTTAATACAGTCTAATAAATCCAAGTGAAGACATACACACTGCAAGCATGTTTCCCAGTTCAAGCAATTGCAGCATAACTGATATATAATTCTCAACAACGAATTACTAGCACAAACATGATAATCTTTACAGATTAAGCAAGAAAACCATGATTCTGACACATTAAGAAGTCCGCTAAAAGCCCAATCTGATGATTTAATGATGTACTACACAAATATATTGACCAAAAAATGCTTTCAGAAATATTAGTCAGAAATCTGCATAAGCTATTCCCATCACCTAAATCAGCCATACACCTGCAAGACTGAAGTATCAAGTATTCAAAGATAGTACGCATGACATTTATATGTGGGAGTCCAACATTGTTTCTGATGACAATTACTAATTGCTTTACCCAAATTGCTCAAGTTCTTTATGTACACACCTTATTTGTCCAAAAGCAGAGATTATTGAATGTGTCACCAGCATGGAGGGCTTAGATGACACCCGTGGCTCAGCAAACCACCGAGAGGGTACACCTCTTAAAATAATCGTGTCAGGCTGCTGCCTGCTACTTCTACTGTATCCTACAATAATCTCCAAAATTTAGTAGAATAAAAAGCAAGAAGAGAACGAAAAATAAAGTCATCCCTCAGAGGTTGTCTCTGATCCAAATATTGCGCCAAAAAAGAAATTCTCTCAAAGCTTGAATACCTAAATTATCATGTAAGATATGAAGCACCAAGCTTGGAGGAGAAAGAAAGAAGGCGTTGCCTATATAATTAACTAATACACGAGCAATATTTCTTTTAGCAACAGAAACCAAGGCATTACTCAGTCCAAACCCACCCAACAAAGTTAATTGCCACACCCAATCAGATTAAGTAAAACAAGGTTCGATTAAGCAATTCTAAGCTCAGGTAACCTTGGCAATATACCTCTTGAACTCAAATTAAAAACTACTTTAAATCTTAATTAGCTCCAACACTCTCGAGCTCGGTTTTACTAAGCCAATTTGCATCCGGCAACAAATTCGACACACTATACCACCAAGATTTATTTCTGAAATCCCTTTTTCCTAGTTTCCTTGAGAGAAATGATTTCAACTCTAAATACTTTTGCTTCTCTTTAACTCTCAAATAATCACTTTTTCTTTCCCTTTATTCATCAAACAGCATCCCATTTCACCATATACCCATCTGTTGCAAATTGCAATTAACCAGAAGCATGCATAGCAACAACAAAAAAAAAAAGGAAAAAGATTTTTTTTTTTTTGGGGCCCCGCGGGGGGGGGGGGTGGGTGGGGGGAAACTTGACTAACCTCGAGTACCGAAAGCTACCATTTCCTCCCAATCCTTCCTCATCGCCTCAAAATCATCAGACGCCGGCAATGCCACACTCAATTTAAACTTAGTCCCTTCCAAATTCAACTCCATTCCATCCATTTTCTCCACCAAGCCTCTCCTCCACTCAGCATACTTCTTCTCCAACTCCTCATTTCTCTCATTCTCCTCCTCCTTCTTGACCCCTAAAGTCTTCCACAAAAACCCTAGCTCCCGAATCACTAAGTTGCCGCGAGCGACGGGGTCCTCGCGTTTCCGCT